TCGTACGTGCAGCTATGACTGCCCCCAGCTCGAAATTTAAATAGAAATAGCATGTTGATGTTATTCGATGTAGGTTTATATATTTAATTTAATATCCGACTCTGGTGTATGTGCAACCCACAGTATGTTCGTTAGAATTTCTCTTCCACAAATACATATGTATTTTTATTTACTCGCATACAAGCAGCAAGCTTCAGCTTCCAACTAACAGCAACAATAATAAGAACAACAGCAACGACGTCGACGAGTAAATCTACTCGACTTCTCTCGGGGCTCGCCTCGAGAAGTGGCACTCCCATTACAATCCCAGTTGCAAGTGACTCGCCATGTAAGCTCTGCAAAGATGCGTGCTAGGCGAAACAATGTCGATGCGAGTGCTGCAACATTGTCATGCTCGAAAGTATGCTGCAGTTTTTTTCTCTTCTCCCGCTAGCTGTCGCAATGCTTGATTGCGTATACGCACCGATAGCTGGTGTATGTGCACAAAAATCAGAATTTCAGCTAGACAAATAATGTTCGCCATTGGGATATGAGCGTGGCAATAGCAACAATGCTAGAAGTGCCACTAGAGCTGGCCACGCCCACACGCCCAGTATACAGAGCCAAGGCTTGAGTGCCAACAAGTGTAAGTTGGCTGCTCGGCTGATCAGCTAAGTGCAGATAACAAGTCAAGTGGCCTGAGAGCCGGCGCTTAGGTGTGAGTGCTCTGCTCATGTCTGTGCCTGTGTGTAAGTGTGTGTGCGTGCGTGCGTGCTTTTGTGGCACCTGGCAGATCTGTACTTCAGTTTTTGCATGAAATCAAGCAGAATGAGAAACCAATTTGTGTGAAAACACAAAGGCAACAGTGAGATGAAATGAAATTGGCCAAAACGGGTGCCTGGCGCCATCACCTTGAGTTGGATTTGGGTTTGGCGTTTGGGTAAGTGGAAAGCATTGCGAAAACAAACTTTTTAAATCGTCGCAAAGCCGAAAGTAATAAATTGTGTGGCAACTTTCTTCACCCATAAGAACTTGGCACAGGAATTTCATTTTTAATCTAACCCAAAAAAAAAAAAAAATCGAAATGAAGAGAAATCAAAGGAAAAAGCCAGCGACATACCCAAGGTTCAGTCAGTCACAATAAAGCACCTCAACATTATTTTAACGGAAAAATAGTTTCAGTTGCGGGTGTGTGTGTGGGTGTGTGTGTGGGTGTGTGTGTGTGTGGTAAAGTGTGTATACTGTTGTGCGGTGCACTCAAATGCTGGATGGTTAACCGAGTCGGGCAAGAGCAACTAACATTATTTGATTCACATAAATGAAGCCCAAAGCCAGTGGGGCATGCAACAGCCCAGCCCTGCCCAGCTGCATAGGTGGACCAACCTGTCCATGTGTGTGTGCGTGTGTGTGCAAGGTCGTGCGGCCACTCAGCGTGAGAGACTGCGACTGCGACTGCGACTATGGCTGAGGTTGAGGTTGCGGCTGAATGTGCGCCGCAGTGGAAATTCACCCGAATAAACACAAAATTTATATGCACACATGGGAGTTGGGCTAGCTGCAGTCGAACCCTCTCACACTCGCACACACTCGCACCCTTTCGCTGCATCTGTATACGTGTGTGGCAACAAAAGCAATATTGTCGTATTATGAATTCCTTTGGAATAAAATGGGGTGCATGGCTTTAACCCGACCTAAGGCACATTTCCGTTTATGTAATGGAAACACATAAGTGCTCTCTAATTGACTACAAAATACCCTACTGTTATATATAATCACATGCATATTTACGACTGAGTTGCATTAATAATGCTGACAATCGAATTGTTGCGAAGTGGTTAATGTAATTCGCGCTTACTCAAGCCAGACACAAGGCCCCACAAGTTTGCTTGAGCAACAACTATACAAATTGACAATGGCTGCTCCATTTGAACCGGCGACCTCTACCTTGTGAGTCCGACGCTTTGTCACTTAAGCCATGCAGGCTCATGATGTTTTTGCTGCTTTTGATGTTTTCTGCACAAACTTTGCGCACAGTTTTTCCTCACTTGCAGACCAAGTTTTTCCAAATGACCGACTTAGTGCTGACTTTCCAACCAAAAAGGAAGTTTGAGTAAAAATGTAGGTTTTTTAGTTTTGGGCTGCGCGTTGCTCACTGTTCAGTCAGTTAGTCAAGAGAAAGTTCTTTATAGTTTTAGATTGATATAAATACTGTTTCACATAATCATATGGAAATAATAAAAATTTTGATTGAGCTGTATTTCTTGAACTCAGATACCCATTGAGTTTGAACTTACAGGATATTGGCAAACGGCAAAAACAGCATTTTCAAATATATTTTTTTATTTTTCATTTGAACAAATCGTTTTGCATGGCACATTTTTGTGCGCGTTGTCAAAGACTCGACAGCAGCGGCAGCCATAGAAATATTGTTTTTTGGCGCTGCGAAACTGGACACGCCGACACGCACACATTTGCCGAGTTTATGCGGCTCATCAGCATGAAAACTTTTTTGATTGACCAAAAGTACGGCGTCATTTTTATTGAGTGCAGCTTTGCCAGAGGTCGTCTCTTTGACAAATGCGGCTCATGCTGTTTGGCCTTTGGCATATTCAAGTAAAAACATGCCCTGGTCTTCCACAGGTTGCTCTCCACTTGCTAAACTTTCATCGCAATTTATGCCCACAACTGTCATTTCACAGATTTTTCCTTTTTATGCCCTGTAGTCATGAAATGGCCGATAAAAGGTATATATGTATATGTATATGTATATGTATATGTATATGTATATGTATATGTATATGTATATGTATATGTATATGTATATGTATATGTATATGTATATGTATATGTATATGTATATGTATATGTATATGTATATGTATATGTATATGTATATGTATATGTATATGTATATGTATATGTATATGTATATGTATATGTATATGTATATGTATATGTATATGTATATGTATATGTATATGTATATGTATATGTATATGTATATGTATATGTATATGTATATGTATATGTATATGTATATGTATATGTATATGTATATGTATATGTATATGTATATGTATATGTATATGTATATGTATATGTATATGTATATGTATATGTATATGGATATGTATATGTATATGTATATGTATATGTATATGTATATGTATATGTATATGTATATGTATATGGATATGGATATGTATATGTATATGTATATGTATATGTATATGTATATGTATATGTATATGTATATGTATATGTATATGTATATGTATATGTATATGTATATGTATATGTATATGTATATGTATATGTATATGTATATGTATATGTATATGTATATGTATATGTATATGTATATGTATATGTATATGTATATGTATATGTATATGTATATGTATATGTATATGTATATGTATATGTATATGTATATGTATATGTATATGTATATGTATATGTATATGTATATGTATATGTATATGTATATGTATATGTATATGTATATGTATATGTATATGTATATGTATATGTATATGTATATGTATATGTATATGTATATGTATATGTATATGTATATGTATATGTATATGTATATGTATATGTATATGTATATGTATATGTATATGTATATGTATATGTATATGTATATGTATATGTATATGTATATGTATATGTATATGTATATGTATATGTATATGTATGTGAATCAGTAGAGCGGTTACAGGGTATTTGCTATTCAATCATTCAATCAGTCTCGTTTAAGGGAAGCCAACTTGTTTCTGATGCTCCGTTTTGCGCAATGGGCATATAAAACTCAATTGGGTCGTTAAATGTAAAAATTGTGATAAATAATCAAATTACACGCATTTGATGCTCGCCAAGATTTGGCGCTTTGAATTTTTATGCCACAGATTTTTGGCGTATTTTGTGGGCCGTTCGCCTGCTGACGAGGCGCATAATTTATGGCCAGCCGTCGATTTGGATAAAGCGATTATGAGGCCTGTTGGGCGTTGGCATAATGACGCGAGTGATTGGCTTGAGTCGGGAATGTTGTATGCCATAAATTGTATTATGTTTTCAATTATCGCGCATACGCCACTTGTGACAGGCGACCGACGAGTGATCTGCGGTCAGCTCGCGCGCTGTCCAAACGTCTAGAATTTCCAATTAGAACACACTTATTTCATGCAAAGTGCCTGTGGCTGGCGAATTCTCCAATGCCAATTTCAATTTCAGTTTGCGAATTTCTTTAGTGCGTAACAGGTGAAATTAAAGGCAGCACCGCATGACTCAATGTGTGCGCATGGTTCTGGTTGCTTGTCAGTTAAACAGATTAATGTGCTACCTTCAATGGCGTGTCGTCTATTTGATTGTTACTCATACGCCCCCTTAGCCCGCAACCCTTTAAATGGCGCATTGTTAGCCGGCGACAGTTACAAAAAATCTGTCCAGCGAGTGGCCTATAAAGGGCCTTCGCGCAGTTTACAGGTAAACGGGGAACATAATTTCAATTACTTGACGAGGTGGTTTGCTTCAACTATTTTAATTAGCCGTAGCACACGAAATGGCCAGCCGAATATCGGATCAGAGACAGGCCTTTGATGTGGTCATGACATTTTCCATTGACACGGACCGGCTGGCAAACAGTATACACGCGGAGTGCGTCAGCGCTAAAAGCCCAAAAAACCAGAGGCCGAGAGTGTTAGCATCACGTTGGCATCGGCATCAAAATCAAAGTCAACGGGCCATTGGCGACACTGTCATGGGGCATGTCAAGGCGTTATTTGATACGCGAGACCGTCAACGCGCTGACAGTTTGCACATTTTTCATAACTCGCTCGGCCAGTGGCAAGTGCCAGTTGCCAGTTGCCAGTTGCCAGTGGCAAAGTGCCGCACTTTCACTTGCCGCCAGTACTTCCACTAACAGCTTACAACAAACACTCGACTAGACCCTGCCTGTCTATTTTGGCAGCGGCATTTAGCGCTTTGGTGTGAAACACTTTTGGTTCGCTTGGTTTGATTCTATTTGCGCTCAGTACTTATATTTATATACATATAAACTTATCAGCTAAGTGGATGTGTGTAACTGAATGTGAAACTGTGTGTGTGTGTGTGAAACCGTGTCTGCTTTTCGATATTCATTGGCCGTCGCAGCGTGTTTCACAGCTGTCCTGCGTGCAGAATCGATTGCGATTGCCGTTGCAGCCCTTGTAGTTGAAGGGGCGGCAGACACCCTTGTCGTAGTACCAGCGGGTCAGGGCCTTTGTCTGATCCTTGCTGTTGCAGTAGTTGCCCTCGTTGCGGCCCACATAGCAGTTAACGTTGTCTGCAAATATGGCAAAAGAAACGTTCTGTTTAATTGAGCAATTATTTGGTTAATCGATTCCTATTTGTGCTCATAAATCATGCATTATTTCTTTGCTTCAATGACTTCCAGCTAGCCTGCCCCCCCCACCCATTTTTGTGTTGGCATGCGAGTGGCCTCATTTGGCCCATTTTAATTTTGTTACGGAATAAGAGCATTACGCATACAATTTTGACAAAATATTTTACAAATTTAAAAAGCAGAACGTGCACACATTTCTATAGAAAATGGCAAATATGACTGACAACGAAAAGTTTTGGCAGTGGTTTGTCAAATTGCGAACGAACATTCAAGCATAAAGCAGAAATTGGCCGAAACTTTTTTACATTATTCAGAAAAGGTTGAATAGTTGGGAACAATATATAATGGAAACCGCTCAAAATACCTTTCAAATCTAGCAAGGAGCGGGAGCGAGAGAGAGAGAGTTTAAGGTATTGTTAGGACTAGTTGGATAAACTGCGAGGGACAGACTTCACCTCTGGAATCTTATGAATCGAATATAAATAATATTTGTCAAAACTGAGTTAGCTTAAGTTAGACCGGAGCCGGTGATTCTTATAGACAGATATTAAGAAGAAATTATATACATTCTAACAATTTTAATTGCAAATACTATAAGATTTTTCTATTCCTATAGTTGGCATGCAACATTTGCTGATAGTTGCAGCAATTGCAAAATCAATTGCATAAATCATTTTGGATACTGCCTGGCAATAAGTTAAATTTTAATGGTCTATTTGTTGATATTTTCTGACATTAATGTGGCATTTTGTAGAACTTACTTAGCTCCTTGCACAGGCCCTCTCCAGAACCGGCTGCACCGATTCCGATTGTCTGAGTCAGCAGAATGACAGAAATAAGGCAGACTAGTGCCATGGATAGGAACGTCAAATTGATTTTGAAATTCATCTTGTTTTCTTGATTTTCACGCCGCGCACCAGCAGTAAAATGCAATAGAATTCAGATCGACGAGTGAAATGTCTATGGCTCGGCCTGTGGCTGTTCCAATAATTTCGTTGTTTATTTTAAGTAATTTGCGCTACTTTGACAAAAACGCGACGTGGGCCAACGAACCGAGCGAACTGAGTTCTGGCCGGGGTATACTTTTAGTTTATATACGAAATGCCGGAAATTGTGGCGAGATTTTGGCCCGAAGCACGAGCACGAGCATGCGGCTGTTCCCATTTTCGTGATACTTTTGTAATTTTGTTGTTGTTTTGCTTTTTGTCTCTGTTGCCGTTGCCGCTTCGAAAATTCGAAAATACTTTGAGCAATTGTCCATCTGGCCAGCCATTCATCCATCCATCCGTCCATCCACTCGCAGAATCGTCCAACGGTTTATGTCCATCAAAGCTAAGTAGGGGCGTCTATTTTGGGTCCACAAATATATTTTGCGGGCTCCGTCAATTGCACTTAGCGTTTACTTTGGGCTCGTTTGCATAATTTTCAACTTATTGAATATATTCCACATAATTAATTTTAATTATTTGTACTTCTTCTTTTGTTTTTGCAAGTATTTGAATTAATTTCGATAAGAAAGGCAAAAAGGGTCGACCCTGTACCCAGTCAAGGGTTCACTGCCATTGTCTCTAATTACAATTGGGCGGCATTTGTTTTAGATTTTTCAATGTCACAGCCTGCATAAAATTCCCCATTTGACAAGTGGTTCGCCCTTTGGTCCAAGTCAAGAGCCAAACACAAAAATCAATCTTCATTTTAAATTCAATTTTCTTTCTTTTCGTATCGTATTCGATACGCTGGAGGGGGAATCAAAAATCGTATACATATACATATAGATTTTGACTGTTGACGACGCATTGCTGCCAACTGACGAGGGAATTTCGCCTGTCACGGGGCGAGTAATCAACAGCTTTGCCGGAAAAAAACTGAAAACAAAATAAAAATTGGCAGTTACCAAAAGTCGAGTATTATTTCGAAATGTCCTTGAGTAAAATGCTTATAAATATGCATGCAAGGAGGATTATTTTTCCGACCGGAAAATTCGGTACAATGTGTCGTATGATTAATTGACAAGTAATGCACATGAAAAGCGTTAATGAATGAATGCGCCACGGAAAGGACGACATTAATGATGATGTTACCCGATGATGTGGCAACCATTCCCACATGACACGCCCCATGTTTGCAGTCGTTCGACCAAATGCCAACAGACTTTTTAATTGGACGCTCTGCGCGCAGAGGATCTCGCATCGGGCAGCGTATCTATCTGTAGTTGGGAAATCATCAAAATTACAAGGAGCGGAAATGTAAAATTTTAAAACGGAAGTATTAACGAAAAACCCATCCCCAGGTATACAAAGCCAGTCGACTGAAAGGGCTGCCAAGCTGGAGCCGGAGCTGCCGCAAGTCCACAAGTTTTGAGAGCGACGCTCGTGATTAGTTACTCAAGGGCCGAAACAATGGATACAACACGGGATGTGTATCAGCGACAGTAAATCAATACCTACTTAAATGTGGCTCAGTCTCAAAACGATGCGATTTGGCTACAAAGAAACGACAGATATAAAATTGACAAAATAAACAAGAACAAAAACGGGCAATGGAAAGCTTCTCACTGTAAGATGCTCTGTTCAGAGTGAAAAATAGGTGCAAAATACTTTTTGGGTCGCCTAGAATTAAAGTTGTGGATGCTTAAAATTTCTCTTATTAAAAGTCTTAGACAGCAGCAAGAGGAGGCGAAAAATCCATACGAAATACGAATACACCAGAATAAATTATACTGAGCCGCCCCATGTCGACGTAAACTGTCAGAACTGTGTCACGTCAGCTCATGACAAGCAGGGGAAAAAAATTAAAATGAAAATATTTAAAGAAAATTATTTTATTATAACATAATTATAAGTGTAATCCAATTAATTCAGAGTGTATTAATGGTAATTAAATTCGTAAACAGGTAAGAGGGAAATCTTTGACATAAGTCATATGATATTGCAAGGACTTGATTATAAAAGTGTGCTCACCAGAAGGAGATATAATTGTATTATTTGAAAAGTTGTCAAAGTCAATATTCGTTAATGAAAAAAATCACAAAAATGAGAACAGTTGTATGTCTCACAGCGAATCGATTTGTTGTTGGAATTGAAATCGTTTTTTGCGGGAGTTGTGAATCTCAATGATGGAGCTGCATCATATGGTTGCCCACAGCAATATGCTCTTTGTCACTTTGAAAAAAAAAGAGTATACGAAAATAAAAATAATAATAAAAAAAAATCAACACAACATAAAAGCGTTCGGTTGATTTCTGCGTTTCCTATAGCCAGCCACGTAATGTAATGCCGTAATTTGTGATTTTCCACTTGTTTTGGCAATTTGGTGATTTTCTGATTTTTCGTATTTAATTTTGACGGACTTTTCAACGCAGTGGACCAAAAGTTATTTAATGGCTGCACTTGAACGTGCCGAAAGCCGATGCCAGCTCAAGCCTCGCACGGACGGACGACATTTTCGCTGACTACATTCATAATATTGAGACGTTAAGGAATGGGACTTGAAACAGGCGCAGGATCCGAGACGTCCGTGATTATAAAAATGCCTTAGATTTTTCTTACTTCTGCCTTGTGTTGATTCCTTTGTTGTATTTTCTACCTTGAACTCTTTATCATTTCCTTTTGGCCAGTTTTATTTTACTTCATTTTTTGGTTTCCTTATTTTTTGGGACTCCTTTTGATTTAAAGTTTCGCTTGGCTCTGCCTTGACTTGGCCGCAAATTGAGGAAATGAAACATTTGAATGATTCACTTCCGGTATTTGTTAAGCAGATCGACTTTTCTATTGAAATCAAAAGAGTTTCTTTTCTCCCCTTTTGCTAACTAAAATATTTAAATGCCCAAGGATTAGGTCTCTGTTGTTGGGACTTAACTGTGTTATACAAAACAAAACAAGTAAGAAGTTCTATTCGGGAGCTCCCGACTAGGGGATACCCTAAACCCTCTCCTTCCGACGGGCGATAGGTATAAAATGAAAGATACTTGATATATATATACTAATCTAGAAGCTAGATGTCAAGTTTGGTGACTCTAGCTCATGTTATTTGCCGAAATTGCTCAAAAAACAGGATTTCGATATCGATTTTTATCGATTACTTGGAAACGGGGCAAGTTATCGAATATCGGAAACAAACTCTATCTGCGCATGGACTAGGAGGACCTACAGCTAAAATTTCTTATAGGTTCTCAGATCCTTGCGTTCATACATACGGACAGACGGACGGACGGACAGACAGACGGAGATGCTTTCTTCTGCCTGTTACATACATTTGCACAAATACATAATACCCTTTTTACCCATTTTCAATGGGTTCAGGGTATAAAAAGTAGGAATTAAGTGCTTCATTTGGAGCTCATGAGCTGCCCGCAAACGTTCGACTACTTAGATGTGGACCTATTGATGCTGGAACTGCTTATTATTGATTTCAATCGTTTGGAATAGCTAAATGGCAGGCAGTTTCTTACAGAACATTGGCATAGTGACAATGAAAAGTGTCGACAGTGCCAAACAAAAAGGATTCGCGCAGGCCGTTTCGGGTTTGGGTTTGGGTTTCAGCAGCAGGTTTGCGGCTGTATCGTCTTTGTGTTAAAGTAAAAATTTTACAATTTGCAATAAAAATTCCAGTTTTGCTTTTCGGAATTCAGTTTATGGTCGCCTCTAGCGCCAGGCTAAGCCGCTCTGAGCGCATGTATCCTTGAAAGTAGCTGGGAAAACTCGGGAAAAAGCGGCAGCCGAGCTTTCAGCTCGAAAGTTATTATGCGTCGAGGAGACTGCGTGCCGTGCGGTTTCTCGGTTTTCGCTGTGCCATAGAGACGGAGCGAGCAACAATTTAATAACAAAACATATTTCACTTGCATGCCAAAGCTGTTGGGCAGGAATGCGCTGTGAACAAAATCGAATGTGCTTAACTCATCCATGTAGCAGAGTGTACACTGGCACCACACTACATACTACATACCTACATATTATTTTAAAGCCATGGAAGCGCTTTGACATTTGTCAAGCCAAAGGACTGGCCCGGCCCATTTGGAGGTTTGTGTGCGCGCTTGCAGCTAAGGCGAGCGCCAGTGTCATGTTGATTTCGTTCATTTCCGACTCAAATGGATTTTGATTGTCTGTCCGGGCCTCCTGGTCTGGCTCTGCTCGGGCCCGTGATGGTTGGAACGTGTCTGCCATTTGTCTGCACACTCGTTTGGCAGAAGCTGCCAAATGACTTGCTTTTTCTTAGCCCAGTTGGCAGTTGGCTCTTGGCAGTTGGCTGTTGGCTGTTGCTTCGGGGGCCATTAGGTTTTATTGTAATGATTTCTATTACCACACTGAATTCTCCAACTGCTGCTGCTGCTGCTGCTGATTTTCTTATTGTTGTTGTTGTTTTTGCTGCAGCTTGCAGTTGGCAGCAGTTGGCAGCTTACGTGGCCATCGCGCTTAATGAGTAGTTATTTCCGCTTGTATATCTTGATAATGCCAAGTCATGCGAACAACGCCTTTTGTGGTAATCGGCCCTGTTCCGAGATACGTTCCCATATTAATTGCTCTTCATAAACGCGTTCGCGTAAATTCATTAGCATGAATGCTTTCTAATTGAATTTATGCATATTTTATTTGTTGTGTGTACCAAATTTGGATTCATTTATACAGAGCACGATTATGTATTTACAAAGTCGTATATATATACGCTTTATATATATTTATTATTTTTTTTTCTTTTTATGTTTTACTCTGCGCTGGTCGCTTCGAATTTATGAATTTCATTTTGCAGCTGTCACAACAGAGATAATAAAATAAGCTCGAATTTGTGGCAAATCCACAATAAAATTATGTTGTTCATTTCTTTGTTCTTCTCTTTCAATTTTAATACATAATTACGTTTTATGTGGTTTGTGAATAGGGCTGTCAGTTATAATGAAAATCCCTTTTAGTCTGCACATTCATTACTCCACCAGTTGCTGCAGTTTCCTAGCCCGATTATGACATAAAACATTCATTATTTACATACACATATATCTCATTTGTAGTATCAGGAGCATATCTTTAGTGAAATCTGCGATTGCCATTCACAATCCGCTTCACCCTCGATTAGAGAAGCAACCGCCAATTTGAATTTGGCTCTGCTCGC